CATTCTGTAAGGCTGCTCCTAGATCAAGTCACACTCACATTTCATTCCAAGCTTTATTTTAATTAATATCACTTTTTTGGCAGTGCTGAAAATAAACTCTCATTTTTCTTTCAAAGGCAGACATGGAGTGCAGAATGCCAGATTTCCTAGATAGGAAATGGTAGGTGTTTGCTCCAGTCCTGTTAATGTCAGGAGATGTATTTCATTACACAAAAATGCACCTTCAACCAGTGGCAACAAATCTGCCAGCACAGACCGTGCTACTGGAAAATCAGAATAACACAGTAGCTCCTAGCTGATACTCCTGACCATTCCACAACCTGCTTCTGGAGCTCCAGTTTTGTGAGCCTCTGCCTTTTCCCAGGGCTGCAGAGCCAGTGATACCTGTGATCACAGTGACAGCTCTGCTGGACAGTTCTGCCTGTAAAATGGGGTGAAAAATGAGCTGGTAGGAACCCCAACTTCTAAATGTCTCATGTTGCACTTCAGTGATTTTTAAAGCTCCTAATACCCTCTGAGAAATGCCGTGAAATGCTGACCTGGTATGAACTCCCTCTGTCAGTTCACATTTGTCCAAACCCTCGGCAGGCGTTGTGCCAGATCTGGGATCATCCATCCCCCTGCAGCTGGCAGAAGGGTGACACAGAAATCCCAGTGCTTGCAGAGGCCATCCTGTGTGTCCCAACTAATTTGCCACAAAGGCAGCGTGGTGACCCCACACCAAGTCAGGACAAGTGTTTGATAAGGGAGCACAGCACCCTGCTGCTGCCATCCTGGAAACACTTCCACTGGAAAGGCTTCCTCTCCCAGCTGTGTCTCAGGATTCCTGCCCTTTGCCATCTTATTATGAACCAACAAAGATCCTGTGTAGAGGGGTGAAGGAGAGTACTCAATAGGACAATTACACACTACACTTGGAAATTATTTACCTAAGCAGGGTCAACCAACCTGCTCATCCCCAGGCAGTGAGGAGGAAAAACATGTTATGTAGCATATATTGTAAAGGAACTACTGAATGAAGCATGGAGGACCAAAGGTGAAAACATGCATGGACTGTATTCTAAGGCAGCAAAACAAATTCCCCCTTTGTAGGGTCTGGGGAAGTCTTGAACATAATCAACTTTTGAAAATCATTTAAATAGTTGTCATGACTGTATTCTTACCTTCTGTCTGTTGATTTGGCTTCCACGATGCCTGAATAGCTCTCCTGGAGCCAGTTTACTCTCTATTGTCTGTGCCTGATGAGAGCTGTTATTTCTGATTAGATACTTTCCCTCTATATTCCAGATCTCTGCCCTTCATTTCTCAACCTCAGCACATTTCTCCCTCAGCACTCGTGGTGTCTGATGAGTACCACTCCTAGCATGCCCTGGTGGGTAAGAACAAAGGCAAGAACACGTCACACCTTAGCCTAAGGCTGCAACCAAGGGACCATAACCTCACATCTGGAAGTGCCTTTCTGTTGTGCTACTCCTGTACTCTGGAAGTTCTGCAGGATTTAGTATTTCTAAGCTAAATACATTTCTGCCATTCTTTTATTCATAAAAAATGCCACTACAAAAACAAGTCAGACATGCCAGGCTCCAGCTCTCTGTGAATTTATTTTATAGCATCACAACTGCCTACAAACAGGGCATTATAGAAAGAGATGGTTCCATGTATGTTTTTAAGGTAGATGTGAGCCTTGTCTCCCAACACCTGCCCTGAGCCCACTGGGACTATTGACTCTGGAAAGGCAGAGGCATAAATTAGCCTTTGCAGAATCACAACCCTTATACCCTACCAAAAAAGTGAATTCGTGTTCATTTTCCCTTTTAAGCACAACAAGCAATTGGCTAGAGAAAACTGAAATAAAAAAGAATTATCCTGCCTCTCCTGCCATGCCAGGCCAGCATTCAGCACATCCAGGGCAGCTTGCAATCAATGCACCCAAACACTGGGGTGTCCTACCCTCCCTCAGTCAGTCTTTTTCCCCCAGGTGTTTCCAGTGCCCCCAGTCTCAGCAAAAAGAGAATCTCTAGGCTTTGAGCACATGGAAGCCTCTGGCACAGAGTGGGAATAGGCAGCTCAGCGGAGAGAAAAGCTGGAGAATCTCCCAGAACAACAAGAAAACAAAATGGGCTTCTCAGCTGTGAAAAATTACAACCACATGCCATTCATCAGCCTAGCCATAACCCTCCATCAGCGAGGATGTTGTGATACAGGATCCCAGTTCTTTGGCTCACAAAATCACCTCGCTCACCACAGCCCCGTGTCTGGGAGCCTCCACCACTGCTTTCACTCAGGGGGTCCCCAGGGCACATCATGCTTCCAATCCCTCACAGCTGTCAAATATTTGACACCATGCTCAGCACGTGGTTGCTGCCAGCACGAGGTGTTTTGCCCTCAGGGAAGTGGAAATCCTTCCTCTCTACACAACCACAGCAGCCCCACTCAGTTTCCTCTCCATGCAAGGCCCTGGTTGTTGTCAGGCTAAAACCAGCCAAGGCTGTTTTTGAAACGCTGGTGTTCCCCAAGCAGCACTTAACATCCCTGTGAAGCTTGAAAATGAGATCTAGAAAATTGCACTTGCTACTATCTGTTCGAATGTAAACCCCACTGGACCAGGGTGAAAGATCCCTGAAGGCCAACTATGTTATCTTTGTCTATAGAAAACAATTAGAAAGCTGATCTTTAAATGCTACAATTAAAGGCTTAATATAAATGCATTTCTGATGCTATCAACAAGCACACAGACTTCAAGAAGCTCTTTCAAAATACCAGTGCCTTCAAGCAAAAAAGCTGGTTTTGTTTTTTCTTCATGGTGGATGGACTACGGGCAATTTACACACCCTTTCTAATCTTAAAAGTACTTTATCTGTGCTATGCATCTTATGTGCTATGAATTCTATACACGGATTGTAAAAATATACATAAAGCCTTGTACAAATTTACTGTTTTGTCTATAGATTCATGGCTGAACATAAAGCATTCTAGCAGAAAAGCTTGGGGGCAGGCACACAAAATCTGATGAGCAGGAGTTCTGTAAAATTTAATAGAAACATTTCTACCTTTATTTTAGATAATCAGATTACAGTCGGATTTCAAAATTAATTTCCCTTTCTTTGGCAGTTTTATGTTGTGTTTTAGGAATAATCATACAAAATGAACACTACAAATGAAAATCCTGGGTTTATTGAGGTCACTAGGGCAACTCCTACTGATTTCAATTGGGCCAGGGCCTCATTTTATGAGGAAGTCTTGGGCAAAAAATAAACCCAGACTTCTAGAAACAGAGTAGTATGCCAAAAAGCCTTTTCTTAATTTTATTTTGAACGTGGTCACACTGCCATCTGAGAAAGCAGCTAATTGCATTGTCTTCAGGAGATGAGCAGGTACTCCTCCTGCTTCCACTGATTCCTTGCAAGCTTGCAAGGACAGGCTGGCTTTCAAATTCACTGCTTTTTACCGTGGCCAAATTGTGCTGCTGGGCTCAGCTGCCCATCCTGTCTCACCCTGGGCCAGGACCTCAGCTTCCACTGGGAAGTCCCAAAGGCTCTCTCAGCTTCCTTAAGCTTGTCCTGGGCTGCAGGACAGCTACTCTTGCTAGGCCAGAAATACTAGGTTCCTGCACTTGAAAGCTGACTTGAAACTTGAAAGTTTTAGACAGGATCTTGCCCTCATGAGAAGCAGCAGCCACGTGCTCCTGAGGAGTTTCTCCACCAAACAGGATATTACCTGCAACACAAACAACTGAGTGCACCTCTTAGGGTCTAATTCCTCCCAAGCCCAGAAACATCCTAGCACTTTTTCCTTCCTCTTCAGACTTTTTTTTTTTTTTTTTTTTTTTGCTGGCACAAATACACACGTGATTCTCTGCCTCACTAAACACGGTGCAGTAGACTGACACTGCTCTCCCTAAAATCAATTTCCAAAGCAAGTGTCCTATCATTCCTGTCATATTTCAGGCAGAGGCAAAGGAGAATGTCCTTTGGATGAGATAGCCCATCCTTTATTCATCTTTTCCACTTAGTTCTGGGCTGTTTACCAAAGCATCCGAGGCTGCCAGCAGCACCAATCTCCTCTGCTGCACCAAAGCAGGCTGCTGCTGCCAGTGTGGTATCACACTGATATCTACCACACATTTAAGAGCTGGTGTCACTAGTACAGCACAGGGCATAGGACAGCTCCTAATGAGAAGTGCTGGGCACATAAGAGAACTTGGATCAAGAATGGAGCTGTGTGGTGCCAAGTACTGAAGTAAGAATTCTAGAAAGACAACTTACCCAAAGAGGCAAATTTGATGCCTGTAAACAAGCTTCAATCAGAATTTTGGATGAACTCGGAAGGTATTGATTTTTTTCTGGGGTAGACTACCTCAAATTTCCATATCTCTGAGTGTATTTTTTATTATTAGCCAGTAATATATGAAAGATCTTGGAGGTGGACATCATGGAAGTGAGGCTTCAGCTTGACTGACCTTAAAAGTCAGTGAAGTCATTTAAAATGAAGTCTTAAATCTCCTGGAAGAAAATTGTTAATACTCAGAATTCTGAATAATATTATATAATTAACTTTTCAGCAGAGAACAGCCTCTTGGCACTAACCATGTCCTTTCTGATACATCAGAGACTGAAAAGCATGGCCTTTCCTGTGCCAACTGTCTTTTAGAATAAACAAGAGACCCTCCCCCTTCATCTCCACATCCTTAATAATATTAATAGAACATGAAAATATTAATGCTAGTAGACAAGGTCTTTCATAAAGCACATAAATGAATTCATTCACTCTAGCTCATTAGCTTAATCGTCAACCTTTTTACAATGTAACTGATTAACATTTTCATTGTTCTTCCTTGTTTTTTCCTTAGACTTTTGCTTCTTTGGGGATCAAAAGATCTCTGAATGCATAAGCTCAACAAATATCCCTGCACAACTGTACAACAATAGGAACTGTTAAAAAAGATAACTAAGTAAGGGCTTTCACAGCTCATGCTTCAAAGATGCTGCAGGAAACAACCATTTAAGAATCATTTTTATTTTTATGTTTAACGTGATTATACACATTCATGAGTCCAACAAGATCTGCACTGTGACATTAAAGATACAGTACAATAACATTCAACATGAGGTACTTCATATATTTATATATATCTGTCCTTTATAAATAATGCTGTAAGCCTGCTAAGGTCAAACACTGCTTCAGCACAAATGGGTGCTGGGACCTGAAGTGAGCCGAGTTTATCACAACAAAAAAAAAAAACCAAAAAACCAAAACCCAAAACAGTTCAGTGCAATAAGTGTGTAGAAATTAAAATGTTTGCTTAAATACTATTTTAGATATGCAGAAAGTATATTACATTATACTCTCTTATCACAGATTCCTCTCACCAGCAAATCAACGGTACAAGTAGCAGAGACAGCCAGGAACAGTTTAGACAGAATCTGCGAGGTGATCTCTATCGACATTATGTTTACATTCCAGGCTGAAATGGCTGATGCTTGCAAAACGTCAATCAATGTATTCAGGTTTGGGTGCTGCTGCTAAACCAACCAAATCCACATTCAGACATCTACTGAAGTGCCCTGATGTCCCAAGGTGAGTGGCACTGGTCACATTCTTACATCCTGGTACTCGTTAGCATCACGAAGTGCTCAGAAGCAAGTTGTGCTGTGAGCATCAAAAGGTGTTTTGGGTGCCTCTGTTTGATCACCTGCACTGGAAACCTTTCCCTGCACCAGCTCCTAAAACCTGGAATGGACTCAGAGGAATTAAGCTAGAGATTGCTTTCATCCTACTTCGTCAAAAAGGCTTCACAAAAGAATCAAATAAGAACAATAACTAAGTAACAGCTCATTTTCTACATATTACATCTACAGAGTGTTCTGATCTCTGAACAACTCTTCCAGCCAGTGAATGCAGCAGATAAATCACCTTTATTTGCAGGTAAGTAAAAAAAAATAATAAATTAAAAGTGAGAGCCCCAGACTGGTTAAACCAATGCAGTACTCTCTGACTTGTCCCACCAGCTGTGGCACATGTTTTTTTTACCAAACAAATCAGAATGCAGCTCGCTGCCACAAACAACCTGTCAATCTGCTCATCACTTGGAGTAATTACATCTGCATCAGCCACTTGCTGTATGAAAACTTAATCAGCTGATTAGCATCTTTCTCTGCTTTGAAATGTATCTAAATAAATGGAACTGCTGCTTAGATGTTGTCTATAAGTAAGTGACCGTTACCTCATCACAATCTCAGATTCCTTTTTATGATCCTTCAGCAACTCTTTCTCCACTCCATTTATACTCTTGTCTATTTTCAGCTGCAGATCCAAATATAAATAACTGCAGGTTTTTTTAAATCTCTCCCTGGGAGTTTTCCATGGAGCATTCTGTTTAGATTTCACGAACAGTCTGGATTATGTACATCTGTTACAAAAAACAAAACATTTTTCTATGTATTTTGAGGGTATTTACATTTCAGAAAGAGTGCTGCTTACACACACATGTATGCATGTATACAAAACATTAAACGCTAAGATGGATAAAAGGCATAAATCCTGCAGGGTACTTTTCTACCTGGATCTCTTTTTATTACCTAGAGAGAAGATTTGGGTTTTGGCCATGAATTGTTTGATGACTACACTCCAGTTTTCCTTACTTCAGGTGGTATTTTGGACACTGCAAAGATGTATTTTGGCAATTTCCGATGGCCAGGGGCCAGGATTCCAACCATCAAGCATCACTTAGAGTAACAGTATTAAACTGGTAAGAAATCATATGAGAAAAACATTTTTATTACAGAAGTGACAAGTGAATTTAGGGTTATGCTACACTAATGTGTTAATACACTGTAACATTAATCTTCAGCCAGTCTAAAGAATCATTTGGTCCTCTCATTTTGTTAAAAGGTACGCAACAAACTGAACCCACTTCGGAGGTGAAGCAAGAATGAGATGCTCTACAATGGGCAGTGCAGCCTTTGAGGAACAATTGTCCCAGTGCAGTCATGAAGGATTTTCTCACGTTTCAATAGTACCTGTAGTTCTCACTTACACTGGTTTCCTTCCCTGATACAAGGAGTATCCCTCATACTTTTGCAACAATGATACAGACATGCAATAGGAAGTTTTGGGGAAAAAAACTCAGGCAAGGAAAGGGTTCTTTACCACATCATCCTCTGACTGATGTGTAGCCATAAGCAGTTGCAAGAGCTCCAACAATAACCCATCAGAGGAGACCTCCTCCCCCTCACTGCTATCTGATGGTATACACTAAGTGTAATATGATCCCAGCTGGGAATCTTCTGTCTTTGTCTAAATTTCAACTGGTAATAAAAAGGAAAAAAAACTTGTATAACAGAAAAAAACCCAACTCAAGACTGATACATTCTTTTGTTCCTCTAAAATCTGCCTCTACCACGTTTAGGAAGAAGAAAAAACCTACCCAAAGCAAACAAAAATTTATCCTGCATCAGATGATTCCCATTTATTTAGCACGGGTTCAAAGAAATAGCATTTAAAGAGCAGATCAACTCTAATGTAGCAAAACCTGGGCCACAGGAGTAGAGTTTCAAGAGCTGCATACACAATTTGAACACGTGCAAGTACTTCCTTGCCTTCAAGGTGAGATTCCTAGAAAATGAACTCCCAAGGTTAATTTGCCAAGCCCACATCCCTTCCTCACTGTGAACACATCCATGCACTAGGGATGTGGTCAGTATGCCGTGGAGCTTCCTGAAAGATGCTTCCTTCTCCCCATCTTCCCCTGGAGCCATCCCAAACAGTTGGCTGCAGGAGAATCTAACAGGATGAAGGGTTAAACTTGAGCTTTTTCTGCTTATAACTGAAGGACTTGTTTCAGCCCCCACGGTCAACAGCAGCTTGGTTTACTGGAATCTCTAAAGTTTGCAGAGCAGACAGCAGACAGAGCTATAAAACAAGGCTCTTCATTTTCTATCCCTACCTCCCCAATACAAGCAGAAAGCAGAAAATGGAGAAAGAGAAAATGGATCAACGAAGACAGTGTTTAGTGAGATACAAGAGGGAGACGTCCTCTGGTGATTCACAAGTGCATCAAAGAAAGGGTCAGCATCACCAGCAAACAGGCACCCCTCTTACAAAGCCTTTAAAACTCACTTGTTTCTAAGAGCTTCCAGTTTAAATATTACACTTAATCACCAACGATGCTACAAGTACAGCAAGCGAGGAACTCGCCCACAGAGTTTAGTTACATATTCCCTGTACTGATCACATATCTGCAGATAAAAAGCTAAGTGTCAGTAGGCCTGAGCCAGACAGGCTCTTCAGAGCAAAATGTATCCACACACTCCCATTCAAGCGTAAAATATGAGTTCAGGAATTTGTCCTCCCTGTACCCCTGTGCCATTTGTACTGTCCGAGGAGCACTGAAACTGCACAGTCACCTTCCCACACTGAACTTCTGTCATTCCTTCTTGTCCAAAATAGCTGAGTTCGTTGCCATCCAGGATCACGCTCGCTGTGTAAAAGGTGTCAGGCTCAATCTGCACCGGGTATTCAAACCACACGGGGAAAGTGTTACTAGACCCATCCGAGAAGTATTTACTCAAGTTCTGGCCCAGGATAACTCCTTGTCTCTTCAGTTCAATCTTGGCGCTGTACTCTGCCGAGCCGCAGCTGGAGCCGTAGAGGCCGAAGCCAGCAATGAACACTCTCTTGTCGACAGCGAACTGGATGCTGTCGCAGCGGCCCCGGTAGCGCCACTGGTTGCTGCGGTAGGCGCACGACTGGAAGCGGTGGCAGCGCTGCGGGACCAGGCCCTTCCGGGGCTTGCTGACAAACTGCAGCTCCGGCTTTTTGGCGGCCGTGTACCACAGGAAGATGTCGTTGGTTTCGTTGAGGGTCAGGATCCCGGACTGGGCGGCGCCGTTGGCGAAGTCGTCGAGGGCCATGGTGGGGATGCGGATCAGGTAGAGAGCCTTGCCCAGCACCTTGCGCTTGTTCTCTATGGTGGCCGTCAGCTCCTGTCGCTGGCACTCCACTTCAGCCCAGTTCAGAGCTGCCTCGAAAACAACAATTTCTTTGGCATTCAGAGTCTCCCTTCGGAGAATGCTTTCAAGTGTCTGAAAATCAATGTCACAGAAGCCCTCAGACTTCAAAGCGAGCTCGGCTTGGGCATCAATCACTTCCCAGCAGCGCTGGGTCAGGTCAGGTTCCTCGAACAAGCAGCTCTGGGAGAGCAGCACACAGGCATTCTTTGCACTCAGGCTTGTCTCGAGGAAGTTGACGCAGGCGCGGGCCAGGTGAGGGACAATGTACTTCTTGGCAGCATAAAGAGTGGCCAGGACGGTGTCCGCAGCCAGATCAATCTCGTCACAATAGATGTACCTGAAACAAAGCACACGGGGGTAACACTGCTATTTAATGCAACAACAAACTCATCCAAAATCATAAACAAAGAATATTTAAATGGCTCCACATTGAAACCAAGCAGCGCTTTGGAGAGTATTGATTAAGCCCAGAAAGAAAGTACAAAAATAATTCAGCACTTATGTTAAGACCAGGGAAGACAATGAGCTTAAACTTAAGGTGAATTCAACTTTCCATTTGGAATGCATGCTACGAGACAAAAAAGGTTAAAAACCGTGGCCCCTGCAGCTCTGTGCTCCTTCCACCGAGGCCTTGGCTGTCAGGCAGGAGCTCCTGCAGGGCTGCCTCATTCAGCTACCACAGGAGTCTGGATCACGTGTTATCAAGAGTCCCTGGACTGCATGTCCCCTGATGATGAACCACGGCTTACTTATCAACTGTGGTGAATGCACAAACACAGGAACGGCAACAAGTTTGTAGAGAGTAACTAAGCAATCTAAGAGGAGAAATGCTATTCAACTATATCAGCTGCTATCCACTTCTGTAACTACTGGGTTGGGGTTTTTTTGGAGGTGGCTTTTTCGCTTGGGCTCGTGTTCTTGGTTGGTTTTTTCAAAGGGTGACAAAGCATATCGGAAATGGAAGATTTTCAGGTTTTTAATGCTCAAAACATCCTAACTCAAATAGCACAGCATTTTCACTCAGTCTCACTGCATAAGGATGAAAAAAGCTTTACTGCTATGGTAGTGTGGTGAAAGAGATGAAGGTGAAATTCTATTTATGTGACTAAACTGCTGGGATTCATTGCTCAGAGAAATGAAGCATTGTACAGTTTGTTCTTTTCAATATCTCATGCTTCAGGGCCCCATTTGCAGCTGGTGAATGCAATGTGCTAAAACCATGCCAAATGCAATTTCACTCTTCACAGGGATAAGCAAGTCTTGATGGTTATGGCTGATAAAAGTGTCTTCCTCCAGAAAAGCTAAAGTTGTATGCAACCCTGTACTAATTAAAATTTTCAAGTTAGCAGGTTTCCCTACACAATGAGTTTTCTGCAGAACAGATGTGCCTATAAAGAGGAACTAGTATCTACACTGATCTGATTATAGTTGTAAATAACTATTTGTATTTTTGCAGCTGTAAAATAGCATCCTCCATGCAACACTTGGAAAACATGCACAGAGGAGATACTGCTCCAGCAATATAAAACCTAAGAGGTTACAGAGAAAAAGAAAACTTACATAGAGCCATGGCTATTTTAGCTTTATTACTTGGTTTCAGCTTATTTGTGAAACCAAAGAACCCATCTGTATATCAATGGTAACAGGCTTAGCTCCCTTACTGCCCAAAAAATTCCATTTTCAATTAATTTGTTTTTATGATTCTTCTTGTTGCTCTCCAACTCTTTCCTCCCCTCTATTACTTCTCTTTGCCTGCTAGTACAGCAGAGAATGATGACATCTGTTTTAAATCGAAATAGTACAAAAGTTGCTATTTTAATACTCCTGAAAATACAGAACTAATATAATTGATGTACAGCAGACACAGCACAGATCGGCTGTCAGCAATACTCCACACCTCTCACTCTGCCAATGCACCTCAGCTCTGGTCTGCAAGTATTGATATTCCAGTTTCACCCTGTTCTCAAACACAGGATTCTGCCAGACCACAGGGTTTGATGGTTTAGTAACACATTCAGCCTGGGATGAGATGAGATCACAGTTCTAACTTGAACAGTCGAGACTGAGATAAGATATAATACATTAATGCACCAATTCAGTTTGGCAGCCAGACTATGAGTTTAACCCTGTTTTTAAAACTGTACAGAACAGTCAAAGCAGTTTTACTGGGAGAATAACTAATATCTGCCAGTTGTGGTATTTCCTATGTTATACCTGGCAATACCTTTTTTGTTGTCAGAATGCCTGCTGTGTAATAAAACACAAAAAACATTTATGCCATCAGAATTCATTGGCCCAGGGGAAAAAAATAAAACCAGCAAGATGCCAAAAACCAAAAAACCCAAGCTAAATGTATTTTCTGACAAAGTTTATGATGCAGAAAGCAGTGTATGAAGGAGAGGCTGCTTTGGCATAGCTAAAGTCTTTCCCTCTGTAGCAACCGAGCCTTGTGCCATCCATGCATGGCTCACAGCAGTTGCAGGAAGCACTCACAGGGATGGTTTCCCAGAGTGAGAGGAGTGAAGGGGACGGTGGCTCCCCCTGAGCTCCCCATGCAGTGGATCCTGTGATTAGGGGATGCTGCACTGCTGAGCACCATGCCTGTGCCTTCCCTGCACCATGCCGGTGTCCGCAGCCTCAGGCACGCTGCATCAGGGAACGCAGCACTGGCAAGGTGACCTCAACAGCCACACAGATCAAAAACTTTTTCAGGTCTTTTGGGTTTTTTCAAGTAAAGCTGAGAAGGTGAAGATTCCCATGGTTCTGGCCATGCTCTCATAGTTAGTTTCCTAAATTGCCATGGGCTAAATAATATGACAAGACCTAGATGTCAGTATTGATACTCTGTTTTCTAAGGCTTGCTTTCTGCACACATTTCTTAATGATAAATTCAGAAAGCATTCAGTTCCTATATGGCACATAATGTTTAGCCACAGTGGAATAGATTAGCTGTTCAAAAAGAAAGGGGGGCTGGAAAAATCCAAGTATTTTGTATCTGTGATTTGCAAAATTTAGCATAGAACTAAAGCGCAAGTCTGAGCTCTGCCACAAAATCAAAAAGCCCCAAAGCAAAGATCCATAACACACCTCCCTACATAATGTCATATCTTAACTTTATATTCCAAGTCTACAGAACATCTGTGGAGCTCTCCTGGCAGTTACGGATATTGGCACAGAACATTCCTGATGCTGATGATAACCTATAAAAACTCTATATGCAACTTCGAATGTTCATCTATGGTGCCAGTGAAATGTTAAAAATGAAAAAGAAACTGTTCTGTAATCACAAGCTAATCGAAACAGCCTATGAAATACAATAAATTGCTAGCTAGTGATTATATCATTACATGCAAGAAAACCTGCAGCATATTAAAGGGTTCACTATCAGATACTTCTGTATTTTCTGAATAGGAAAGCAATGGCATTTATTTAAGCTGAAGGAAAAAAACCCAAAAACTCAAAGATATAGCATTTCTGTGACAGGGCATTTCTCTTTCATAATCAGAGTTTATAGATACATTCAAGGACAATTCAGCAGGGAAGCTGCTTCATTATGCCCATTTAGGAAAACAGAGTATTTCTTATGCAGTTTGCAGGAAGAAAAATAATGATCATGTAAACTGACTAGTTTTTCTTGTTAGATAAAACCCCCTATTCACGTAAACGGCCTTTTTATTACTTTCCAAACACATCAATATGATACATGAGGAGAAATTTATTTTTCAGAGGCTATGCTGAATAACTTAGGGTCATTTTTCTAAGACAAAACCTGCATACTTCAGGTTTATAAAAGAGCTGGAACGATGTCTATTTACAAACCCAGCAAATTACTGGGTCTGAGGGGGGCTTTGTGCATGCATATTTAACTTTTCTCTATGCTTGCAAAGTAGAACAGTTGGTTTGGGGTTTTTTGTTACAGCTGACAAATCTTTTTAGTAACTCCACTCCTTTGTGTAACGTGTAGTGACAAATCAGATCGATAGGCATTACAGTACACAATGTGCCCAAAGATCCCCTGTCAAAGTCATTATTTACAACTGCCTACATTAGTTTCATGTGTGCCTGGAAGTAGGGGGGAGAGCAAAATGAGGGGAAAGTTTAAAACACAAAAAGAGGAACACTTCAAGTGACTGCTTTCTTTCTGTTTACATGCAAGTCTAATACTTCAGCTGTGACATTGGCAGCATATGTATACATCAGACAGGAACAAATATCCAGCAGATGAACGATGCTTACTTCAGCATTGCAAGAAAAGCAGCAGGCTCAACATCTGGTATACGGATTTCATCTTTGTCCTCAGCCAGCTCTCCGTAAAACATCGCATGGAATACAGAGCTCCCAACAGCCAGGACATACTGTTGAGAAAGGGAAATCTTATTTCATGCTTTGAACTGAAAACACTGCCAACACAAACAATGTGGGAGAGCCACTCTGAGCGTACTGGGCTGCACTGACAGGCTCTACAGACACACTTCAGTAAGAAATGAAGTCCAAGTTAAGAACAAATTACACGTTTTCCTTGTATTCTACTCTCCTGGGCATAGATGCATTAGCTACTGGAAAACGCTCATGTCCACCACAGAAGTTAACTATTTCTAGGAAATCTCAAGAGCAGTATTAATCAGCAGCACAAGGCAGTATTCCTAACTTTACTGCCTTAGCCCAACAAATGTGCTGCTTAACCAGAAACACGAAGAAGAGCCAGGGGCAGATTATCCCACTGCATGTGGCCTTTTCAAGCACAGGCTGCTGCCTGTCCCAGAAGAGCTGAGCCTCCCACGCTCTGTCCCTCTGTAACCGTGGGAGCTCTCCCCAGCTCTCCCCACCCCAGCGGATCGTGCAGCTGTTGCTTACTTTGTGTCCTGGCAGCCGCTGGGTCCCACCTGGTGGCCCGACCACAAAATGAACATCTGCCATCAAGTCATTGTTGAACATCACTGCATTTCTACAAACAGAGGTAGTGCATGTTAATTTGTGGCACTCAGGAACTCTCTCTGCATGCCCCAGACCCAAGAAATTTGATTTTTTAACAACGTCAAGTTCCTTGTTAGCAAAGAGAAGCAGGTCACGCTTTGCTTCGAGCTACTTTACACATCACTGCACAAATATCCCAGAGAAAATACTGAGGAGGAAAAAGTGTGTGTGCAATAAAATAAACCCCCAAACTTCTGAGAACTTTCCAAGAAGTGGAAATCAAAGTCCAGAGCATGTATCACTGAAAAATCCCCACTGAGATCTAAAAGGAAATCTTTATGGGTATGCTGCAGCTTTCAGTAACATTTTTATTAACTCAAACAGATGCACTGACTGGAAAAGAGATATTAAAATACTTTTCCATGACCAAAATTCTTATTTCACACACACATAGAGGGAGGAAAAAAGCCAAAACAAATAAAATATAACTATGTTTTCTTCAGCAAATAAATGCATTCTTGACATTTTGCTACTTTTCACCTCTCCATTCAAACACCAAAAGAACTGCCCTGAACTTACCTCTCTCTGATGGTTGGATAAAGTCCTTGCCAATTAGGTGCAGGAATAGTGTTGTTGTTATTGAGATTTTGCTGATGGTACTGCTGGACAGCAGTGGTATTAGTGTTAGCTGGTTTCTTTCGGGGAAAAATATCAGCAGCCATCTTCTTCTTCTTTTTGGTCTTCAAGGTAATAATTTCATAGCAAACTGGAGGCAATTTGCTGTTGCTACCGCTGCTGCTATTTCCTTTCTTAGAGCTCTTCTTAGACCTGTTCTTGACCGTCTCTGGAAGCATCAAGAAGAAGGTGAGACATTTCATGTTCTTTCCTTTCTCATCTACCATGAGTATACCCGTGTGTAAAGCCCGACAGCCTAACTAGCTAGGAACATTTAGGAATGTAGGTGGAAGCAGCAGTGCTGAGAGTTTGCTCCTTCTCCAGCAAGACAAGGTGACCTTTCCAGCGCACCGAGTAAGAAACTGACTTTAAGTTTGATCCAATACTTGAATCGTTAAATACATCCCCATCATTCCTGCCAGCTTGCTTTCTTTCCAGCTTTCCCGATCAGGAACCGCCCAGCAGCGCTACACGCGGGCAGAGGGCAGGAGGAGCGCACGGTGGCAGTGCCAGGCTGCCGGCGAGCCGAAGTTGTGCGGGAAAGGAAGGGAAGGGATGGGAGCGGAGCGGGACTGGCAGCCGTGCGGCCGGAGCCAATGGCTGCAGCCCCCGAGCGCGATTGGGCTCGCACACAGTGACACCTATTGTAGCCTGCGCCGCTCCCACGTTAAAGCCGCAGCAGCGCTCCCGCAGCTCCCACGCAGCCGGCGGCAATTCGGGAATACACGGCACACGCGGCTGGCCGGGAGTGCGTGCGTGCTCCTCCGTGCGTGCTGTGTGTGTGCGTGCGTGTGTGAGCTCTCCTCGGTGCCGCTTCGATTTTCACAGGCGAAGCAGCAAGAAGTTGAAATCGGGTAGAAAGATCTATCTGAGTCTATTGCCGTGGGAGCCGTTTCCACGGGCATTCGATATTAGCACAGCTTCCTCTGCCTCTAGCATTCCCACAAATCCCTACTGTAGGAGTTGTTCAGCGAGCGTGCGACAGAGAGCAGAACCGAATTAAAGCCATCAAGCAGCAGCAGCAGCACAGACAGCGACGCAGCCAAACAATCCCCTTCAGCGCAGCTCCTACTCCCGTGTAACACGAACAGGGATGAGGTCACAGCTTCAGCTTTAACTCCTTCTGCTTCCAGACAACATAACAGCCTTTGACAGGGGTTCCAATCACTAAGCAGTGCTAATTAAGCCAGCTTACACCAGACATGGCTGCACCACATCAGAAGAAAACTTCTAGATGTGCAATCATATTAAAGCAAACAGGAATGAATGTATTTAATCAATATTTCAAAGCATTAAATGGAAAGGTCTGAATGATTTAGAGTGTCTTGGGCAAAAATCACTCCCTGAGATGCAAATACAGTCCGATTTTATTCGCAAATACTTTCTAAAATAAACAGGATATAAGCTATGCCAACCAAACCATTTAAATAGGAAAGAAGTCTAATTTTTAGCCATTAGTTTACTCAGAACTTAAATTTAGATCAAATTTCTTTAACAACAGGTCAAGCGTATAGAAAAACCACCAAATAAGCATAGCCACTTAAAAACAAAAGCAGGAAAATAAAAAAACGCTTGGTATGAGGTGTCAACATATCACACCTTAAAATACTGGGGAGCAGATAATTTAAATATGATTTCATAATTACTTTCAGTTTTACAGGAAAAAAAAACCTCTGCTTTCAAAGCTAATTTAGCCACGTTTTGCCTTAATTAGTTTTGCTGGACAAGAGTACAGCAGGGAAATTAAAGTGATAAAAGGTTGGTGAAGAAATCTTGTTGAAGCCCCTGGAAGAAATCTGCCACTGACTCAAAGAGAAATATTACTCAGGCTATTTATTCCACCTCCATCCCAACTGCTTGGGTAACACACACTCAGAATGTCTTGAACCTGAGAGTGTGCAGGTATCTCAAAGATTACCAGGTCTCCTTGGGAGATGCTCCACACGAAGCACTCACTGCACGCCCCGGCCATCTGGAGCTTTGCTGCAGTGCTTGGGGATGATGCCATTCCCAGACACATCCGTCCTCTCTGGCTGCAGGCACTGCTCGTGGAAGGGGAAAACAGAGGGAGACGTGTCCATGCCTCAGCTGCTACATGTCACAATCCAACATCTCAGTGCAAGATCTCTTTGACTGCTGCTTTAAAGGAAGGTGGTGGGTTTTGCCTGAAAGGCAGAGACACGTTCCTAAATACAGTGAAGGGAGGTTATGTAATTTCCAAAGAAATTATTTCTAGCAACCTTTTCTTTCTCCTCCCCGCTTTTCTTTTTTATCTGCAACAGATTGATTAGAAAGGGAAACTAAAAACCTAAACCATATTGAACTGTAGAGAGGGAAAAGAAGGGGTAAAAGAGAAGAAACTCATCCCACAGATGGGATCTTAAAACTGCTCACAGCTGAGTTTATAACAGGAACACAGCAGGTATTCCCAGCATAGAATTTGACTTTGTTGAGTTTGTGTAAGGCTTTTTTTTCTTCTCCTTATGTAAATTTCCAGCCCTTCCAGTTACAAAAATAATCCTTTTGCACTGCACAGGACAAACATTTCAAAACAAAGAAATCTTAAAAAAACCTCTTAAAGATACAGAAAACCACAGACTCCAGTAAATCTGGTTCTCAGCATTGCAGTTGGCAGAAGGAAAAAGAGAGCAGGGGTTGGGAGATTTGATTGTTGCTCCACAAATCCATTTTATAGACTCCCCAAGTATATAAAAATCAAGGTCTCTGCACATTTCTTAAAACCAATGACCAGAACGAATCCAAAGATTCTACATACAGACCAGATAAGGTCACTGGGAGGCTACAGGAGATGAAGACAACGAGGGACAGACTGACCAGTTAAGTCAATGTTTGAAAGACAGATCATGAATGTGAATCCACAGGAATCCACCAACCTTTGAGTTCTGGAACACACCACACATGCACAGCACGTTGTGCTTTCTGGGAAAGGAGAGAGAAGCTGCAGCTGAAGCATGTTCTGCCCAAACTCAGAAGTGAGACAGACCCCAGTAGATGAGAAGTATCTGCATGATAGGATAAAAATCTGGCCCAATAAATAAAAAGCCAAACTGCCATCTTTGCCTGCTCTTAAGCCACCCACCAAAACTCAGCCTGCTCCAATTGGAAAATACCACCGAATTCAAACAGATTTAGATTTTCATAGAATTCCTATGAAAAACTACAAAGCTCTTACAGGTTCACACCACCTTTCACTGCACCTCATCACCTCAGGAACTAAGTCTCATAAACTACTCATTAGATGGATGTGAAATGGGAAAAACAACCCCTAAAGAATTAGTGCTAGTCTCACTCCCTATTCTTTCTGTTTTGGCAGCAGCTTCCATTTATTTTCATATAAGAGTCTTTCGTTCTTTTACTATAGAAACACTGTTAATGAATTTAGAAATCAATACACTGACAGTCAGTAAAAACAATCCATGAACTGCTGCCTGTTGAAAGACCAGTCAAAATCTCCAATTTAGATCAGTCTGTCCCCAACAAGAGGATCAAGGCAATTGCCTTCTCTCACCCATAGATCTATCCACGTCTGAAATCTTACTACAACATGCTCCTAATCTTCTTCAGCAAGTCTCATTTTTCTTCATTAATTATATATTAACAGAACCAAACTTGATACATACAACTGAGAAAAAGGGAAATACAGTTCTTCAAAGGCACATTAATTTTTATTTTACAAGCAAAGTAGTCAGACGAGAAATATTTCAAGTTAAAGGGTCTAAGATGTTTTGTACATCTCTCATTTACAGGCCTGTTCCTCATGTAGTAACATGAGCTAGACATTTTCTATTAAAAAAACAAGCTTTTATCAAAATTCCCAATTGTTACAACCACATCATGAATACAGGAAAGAACTCTCAGTAAGCAATGAGGAAATGCATACATTTCTTTTTCTGTAAAGTTGCCAAACGTCTTCTTTGGCAGTTACTATGCCTATGCATTATTAACATTATTTAAATTCTGATTTTCCCTTTACAAAGAAACAAATTTCAGATGGCACACCTTGATTAAGCAAAATAAATACACAATGTTACTGTTTAATAAATCTACCTGTCTGTCCACTGCTAGCTTTCATTGAATTTGAGTTAACTTTAAGCACTCATTTAAAAATGGAATACACATGTTCAAAAAGTAACTAAACAAACAGAAAACCTCAATAAACCCAACCCACACAGCTGCAGTGCCTTGTTGTGTTTACCTATCTATGAATTATTTAGTCACTTGGAAGAGTCCTTCCCAGTCACCATTCCAACCCTTCTGTTTGTAAAAACAAATTTGAAGAAGGGACTGATAGCTCTACCCTTCATTTCCTCAAGAGAAAAAATGCATTGCAGTGGACAAAAAACTTCCAATCTCCTCTCTCCTAAGTTTCTTATTGGCAGCACAGGAAGAAACCAACATGGCATCTACTTCTGCCTGCTGCATGGAAAAGCAGGCAATGAAGTCTTACTCTGTGAGGTCTTCTATGGAAAAAAAAAATAAAGACAACCAAAAGCAGGAAGAAAGATAGGCAAAATTGTAAAGACTCTCAAAGAAGCCAAAATAGATGCTAAAGAAATAGCATTTACATTCCAGAATAGCCAAGAGCTGTGAAAGAGTAGAATAGTATTAGAGTAGAATTACACCTTGAACCAAGACTAGAAGCTTCAAAACAAAGCCCAAAATAGTTAAATTGTATTTTTCTATAGAACTCATGCTACACTAGCAACATACTTGTTACTAAATAGTAACTGCTTAGTGTTTATGAGCATTTAAACACTTTGCATATTATCCACTAAGATAGCTATTACTTTTTTTCCTAAATGCCCTTAATGCTTTAAAGAAAACAAAAGTAGAAAGTCCAGAGCAGCCTAATCAAAAGGTAAACACCAACTTACATAAAATAGAAACCTAAAGAATGAGTATTCACAACTATTTTTTGCTCCTGTAGTATTTGCTAGCATACAGGCTATGCGTCATTTGTTTTTAATCTCTCTACCAAAGCAGCCTTTCTATTAAATCTTTATAATGTCATTAAACTGTAAAATATATCTTTTTTTTTTAAGCAATATCCATTTTGAGACAAAGCAATCAAACATTTAAGATTAATATCTATTCCTGTTCACTTGCAAATAAATGTCCACTTTCTTTGTATGGATTTCAAGTCACTCCATGAACCTGTTCCTACATGAGCTGCAACACTGCCTATATTCATTTTTTCCTGTTACTTTTCTTGTTCAGCTGCTTAAAGCCTGCAATTTAACTTCAGTGAGAGGTTGAGTAACTCTAATATTTATGCATCAAACACTTTGCTGTGCTGGGTTTTTTCTTTTAAAGGTTTTGTTCCTTGACGGACCAAAATAAATACAGCTAATCTATCAGAGAAAAAAAAATTGCTCAAAATTTTCTTGTGTTTTCATTCTGATATGAAGACCATGCCTGCTGCAGGAATGACAGTCCATATAAACCACAACTGGAGCAAGGAAAGCCTACATTTAAACAACCTGCAGTGAACAATATACTTGATCCCATTACAGTGAATTACCTTGCAGACATTCTCTCCTGGGCATATGGTACAAAATAATGTCAAATGCTTCATTACAACATAAAATATATGATTTTATAAACCTGCTAAGACATATTCCCCAGTATCATAGTTTGGGAGCTGCAGGAAGAAAATATTACAGAGCAAAATTTGCAATGCATTCTATGGGCATTAACTTTTTTCTTGATAGTTCAAAGTAAAACCAAGAATTGTAAATGAATTCTGTGAAGATAAAACCTCACAGAAATGATAATTCAGTTCAAGGTTACAGGAGATAAACTGTTTTGCTACTAATTTAAAAGAGACAAATTATGCATTTGTTCCCCATCGTAGCTACTCGAGCTTGTCCATTTCATTTCACTAGGAGCTTTACTCTTGACAGTCTTTGGGGTCAAAAAATAAGTTCTTTCTTAGTGACTGCTATTTATTTATTAATTTATTTATAAACATGGTATTGCAAACCTGAAAGCACTCAACCCTTTTTCTAAGGCAAAGGTCAACTTTAATTCTACTCTGCCTCTTACCAAAACTGACTTACAAATGAAAGATCAGATAGCTCAGGAAATTGGTAATGAGATACAGTGGTTTTCGTCTCTAGGTCACTAATTCTAAATTGACCAAGGTCAACAGTAATCAAAAGTCATTAGCATTTAATGATCCTTCAGTGCCCTGTGAGAAAGAAGCTAGTGATCTTAGTGCACTTCAGAAAAACCACCACTACAATCAGCACTCACATGCTGCCTGCACCAAGGGAGAGGTCAGATCAGATGACTACAGACAGAACTTCCAATCTCGCAGACAGATCTCGCCTCTGTAGACAAACCTTTTACTAATTTTAACTTGGCTCACAAACCATTATTTTCAAACTGAATAGTTAAATTAATAGGGGCTCTCTGAAGGGCAGGCTGTAAGCTGCCTGGTCCTCCTCCTTCACATCAGCAGTTCCCAAATGTCTTTGTTCCCCTACACACAGCAAGTCTGAAAAATGTAAACAGGCCCTTCCTCAGAGAGGAAGGTTCTCACTTGTGAGAATTAAAACCAATGAATAACAAACTCTTGCAGTGATTTTACAATTGTCTATTAACCCCAACTTTTAGATATGAGACCGATTGCTGCTAACCTGAGCCTAAACCAAATAGCTCAAGGACTGGAACCAGGCATGACATCCATTAAACTGCACTGTCCTGAATGAGTCTCTCTTTGCCACACATTAGAAGCGTGGATCTGGTTACTTGTCCTTAACTGATTCCAGGCTCTCCCAGCACACACAGCCTCTTTGAATCCACATGGACATAAAGATGCCACCAATTTTTTCTATCCACTGCTTTAGAAAATCAGATTTATTTTCTGTTGCTGCAAATAGTTCACCCACACTTGCCTTCCTCAGCGGTATTTCCATCAGCTTCTCCTCCTCTTTACAAGTGAATTGCAGCTACTGCACCACCATGAATTTTCAAGAAAAACACATACATACTGTTCAAATTCTGTTTTCAGAATGTATTTTTGTGCCTTATGATGTATTTGTCTATCAGTGCTAGGATATTCTAAATGTTCTTCCTCACAGTAACTTTGTGAAACATCAACTGCAGCAGAGAAAGAAACTAAGGAAGGGGCAAGTAATCAAACAGAACAGCATCATTAAAGAACTGTACAAGATAAGCATAAACTCATTAGTTTTATGTATTATGAATTTTTATATTGGATGAAAAAACCTTTACTTTTTCTTGGCATACATGGGGTAGTATCACTTTGGTCTCGTAGAAATGTAAAGGGAAAAGGCAAAGAGCTCTAAGGAATCCTCACATCTCTCAGACAAGCAAACGTGCCACCTGCCTGAAGAGCTGTTTTCTTTTCATACTCTCAGAAAACCCTTGCAACTGAACATAGACACAGGACAGCTCTGCTTCCAGAGAATGTAGTTTTGAAAGAAAATTGCTCCTTTAAATTGCTTTGGATCTGAAGAGGAGAAAGCGTAGCTGGGGTGGTTACGGAGTGTAACCCGGTACATAAATATCCTGTCACAAAAGGATGTTATCAACAGCCTGGTATTGAAGTGGCACATGATCCTCTAGTGAAATATTTATTCAGGATATCAGGTAATCTTCGGGTACAGGTGACAGGGCTGGACAAGGTGATGTCTCAAGAGAGCTTCCAAATCTGTTTGTTGCCAGTCTTCACCCCACACAGTCAGGACAGAGAGCAGATACTCACAGGCTGCCAGCCAGCTCCCCGGTGTTTTAAAATGCAAACGCTTCCCAGACGTGGCACTCACTTGGTTTTCCCAGCAGCTTGCTGGGATACCAAACTCAGAAAGGACAGCAGGATCACAGAACAGATGAGCCAGGCCACAAAAATGGGAAGTTTGCAAATTTGTACGAAGTGATGTCTTACTTAAACTCCCCCCCCCCCCCCCAGTTTCCTGACACACACATAAAAAGCGTTTTTGTAACCAAGGCAGTGTATTGGAATTCAACTTCATGGCAGAAAACACCACCAATGACAACTTCCCCCACAATAATCTTGTAATCTTTTTCTTCTGAGATTCCCATATCTTACTTCCCTCTTTTACCTCATCTATCAGCCCTTTGAGATAGAAACTGCTGCTTTACCACTCATTTAAGTGCCTCACAAAACAGAGCTTCCACACCAGCTCAGGCACCTGAACATTTGTAAGACAGAGCAGCCAGCCAAGCCTGAGGAGTTATCAGAGACAGTATTGGGGCAGAATCATTTTGAATTATTAGAGAAAGCTAATGCTGGGCATAAACAATATTCTGCTGCAAAACCTACTTGCACAAGTTTCTACAACAGGTGATCTAAATCTCTTCTGACAACATAACACACGGCCTACCATCATCAGACCTCCGTTTTAAGTGAGCCTACCCTAGCACTGCCACTTTCATTGTAACCATTTGGTAAATTTAGAAAAAAAAAAAAAATTGCTCACAAGCTCTAACAAGCAAGTGGCCAAAACACAAAAGTTTCTATTGCAACTTGCATTGTTTTCCCCCAGCCTTAAAGGACAAGCTAAATGAATCCCATGTTGCTTCTGGAAGGTGTTTCCTCTGGGGCAGAGCTGAGGATCACTGGCAGGGAAACACAAGGGAAGTTATTGTGCAGTTAGCTGCAGTGTACTTACTGGAAGGATTTAAAAGGGGAAAGAAAAAAAAAAAAAAAGTACTGCAGTCGACATTCAACTTTGGCAATCCTGCAGAACTTACTTCAAACGAAGGCCCCAAGAGATTTGGTTTGCAAAGCTAAATTACGCAGTAAACCCCAGACACTATGCACTGTGACATCCTGCACATACATTCTGTAGGAAATGGTGAGACCAATTCTCTCCCACTAAAATAAAAGCTATTTTGAGCCCAACTCTGGCATAAAAGTTTAAGCAACGCCAAATAAAGTACTGTACACTTATAACCCAGCACCACATCTCTACCAAAAATAAATTAAAAAAAAAAATAAAATAACCCAGGGAGGAGTAAAATGTAACACACTCATCATATGCTGAAAACAAAGTACAGTGAGGACTAACTACAAGGCAAAAAACCTGCACCGGCACTTCTCAGATGAGACAGCCTGTTGAATTAGGCATGTTAGTAACCACAGCCTAGGAACTCTCAAGCATCTAAACTTCAAACTTTTCCTCGAACTCACAAAATCACACTACTCCCTCCTGTTTTAAAATGCTTCAACACTCAGGGAGCACCACAACGAATTGAATTTATAAACCTGCAAGTTCACAGGTGGCTTTCTCCAAACAAACAGGAAAATGGAGAATTGTGAAGGTGTGGGCGTTGAGGTGAAACCAGAGAACCTTCAGAGACAGGTACATCAGGAAGTTCGGCCAACAGCGTGGGCAAGAGAGTAGGAATTTATACCAAATCAGGTGAAACTATTAATTGTGCCTCCGGGAACTCTGCCGAATTAATGCCTGAAGTACTTCTTTTACAAAAGAAGCTTTACTTCAAGCAGGAGAAAAGCCGCAAAGCCCAACTTTCGGGCTGCCTGCCGGTGAAGGCTCCGGCCGGGGCACAGCTCCATGGGGTCACTACCGGCACGGCCGCCAACCCACCACCCCTGTTCTGCTGCTGCTGCTGCACAAAGGGCGACCGAGGGGACACCGACACCCGCCTGCGGACACGCACCGCCACTCCGACCAGGCAAGGGCCGTGCTCGGGGGGCTCCGCTCCGCTCCCCTCCCTCACGGACCGCCCGCGCTCCGCGGCGCTGCCGGCGCTCAGGTGCGGCCGCTCCGCCCCGCTCCCGCCCCTCACGGCGGCGCCTCCGCGGGGCGCGGGGAGCCCATTCCCCGCCGGCACCGCCGCAGCCCGGGAGGGGGGCGGGATCCGCCGCCACATCCCGGAGAGGCGCAGGTGTCCCCTCACGGGGGTGTCCCCTCACGGGTGTCCCCCCTCACGGGGCGGCCCCGCGCGCCCCCCGCCCCGCACTGACCTGAGGGCGCTCCCGGGGCGGCGCGCG